AGGGAAGGGAAGGGAAGGGAAGGGAAGGGAAGGGAAGGGAAGGGAAGGGAAGGGAAGGGAAGGGAAGGGAGTGCTGGGGGAGGAAGAATGACAAAGGAAAAAAAAAGGTACCCACTTTATATTGACTCTGGCCATGGACATCCATAAGGGGTGGATCATGGAGGGCAAATGATGAAACCTGCATCGTGACATCATATACAAACTCAACTCCTTTTGTACGTGCATCATGATTCCCCAGAATAGAAGCAATGAAACGTGTGTTGCAATGTCACAATGCAAAATTTTGATACTTTTATACTTGTGTTTCAACATTGCATTAAAGTATATAAAGGGAAATGCTTGCATTGTGATGTCAAGATTCACATTTTGGCATCACTGGTTAGCTGAAGGCATCTCTGGCCGGGATATAAGCTTTCAGTTTTACACTCAATGGAATATTCATTACCTTAAGAATAGTTAGACAGTAATCTTATTATTAATCTCAGTAATTTGAATATAAATTGCACTCAGTAATTTGAATATAAATTGCACTTCCAGTTGCACTTTCCCCAAATTATTAAGATTATTATTAAAACAGCGCCACACTTATTGATAGTTGATGAACTGAATGTAAGGTAATAGTTCCCAAAAGAAGAGTAAAAGATGAATAGGAAGGAGGGGAAGAGAAGGAGGGGAAGAGAAGTGGGAGAGCATAACTCACCAGGCCTGGGGATCTGGATGTGTGGCAGAGCTAGTGCAACAGTTGTGCTGATTTGTTGCTGTTGTGAGGTTTCATTTTTATACCTCGGCTACAGGTTACATGTGTGTTCTTGTTTGTATTGTTATATGTTTTTTATATTGTTTTCATTACTGTTAGTTGCTCAGAGTCATGAATTTGATTTGGGCAGACATATAAATTGGTATAATAAACAAACAAGCTTGATGATGGTGTGGTGAGACAAAGTGACAACTGGGCAGGAAGGGAAAAAAGGAAAAAGAAGCCATTTCAGTGTTACAAAAAGGATAAAATTCACCAGGCAAACAAGCCTCTCCCAAATTATGGTTAATCTGCAAAGGGATCTATACTTTTCAGCAGGTTGTACAGTAATCAGGATTTGAAGGAGGAAAGGTGATTTGGAGCATGTCGGGGCGCAAACATCACAGCTGTTGGCAATTCCTTAAATGAACTGGACCTATTCAAGGAAAGATACATTAGATTTAAGAAGCTGACCACAGTATCACTTGTGCTTCTCAGCAGATGTACAACTGGCCCTTCTCTGCCCTCAGTGCAGAGATAATTATTTGCAGAAAATCCTTGTGTTCCTATCTGGTAGGTATGGTACAATTGGGGTACAAAGTTAGCAAAAACAAGGCACAGTATAGAAGCTTTTCAGTGATAATGCTCAGTTATGGAATTCACTTAAAAACATGTCAGACCTACTCACTGTGTTAGTTACTTTTAAGAACTTTGGAAGGTGATCAGTTAGTCTGCTAAAGTTAATTCAAATTTGGATTCACAAATGATTTTGTGATGTCTTATTCTTTGAAAATTAGGATGTTTTCTATGTCCTTGGCAGAATATATATTTAGGAAGCAAACCAAAACATTGAGAGTCAGTATGGTGTGCAGGTGGTTCTTGACTTATGACTGTTCATTTAGTGACCGTTCAAAGTTACAATGGTGCTGAAAAGAATGACTTACGACCAGTCCTCACACTTATGACCGTCGCAGCATCCCCACTTCCACAGTCAAGTGATCAAAATTCAGGCTCTTGGCAATTAGCATGTATTTATGATAGTTGCAGCATCCCAGGGCTACATGATCACCAGCCAGCTTCCAACAAGCAAAATCAATGGGGAACTGCGTGAGTCAGTTAATGACCACAGTGATTCACTTAACTACCACTGCAAAAAATGTGGTAAAATCAGGTGTGGTCATGTGATGCATTGCTTAACAACTGCACCACTTAACAAATTTTCCAGCCCCTATTGTAGTTTTAAGTTGAGGACTACTTGTATAGAGGATAGTAAACCTAGATTCAACTCCCTGCTTCATTCTGAAGATCACTCTCAGACTTCAATTGATTATGTACCATCAAGTCGTTTTAATTCCTATAGATTAATAATCATTCAGCCTAGTCCAGCTCAGAGGCTTTCAGTGTATAATGGGAATAAAATTTATATATGCTTCCTTAAAAGAAGTGTATGATAGAAACATAATATCTAGAAGAGCAAATGTATTCTTCTTTGTCCTTTCCAGGTGCTTTTATAATCTGCTGGACTCCAGGATTAGTGCTGCTTCTTCTTGACGTTTGCTGCCCTCAGTGCAATGTCCTAGCATACGAAAAGTTCTTCTTGTTGCTCGCCGAGTTCAACTCTGCCATGAACCCGATCATCTACTCTTACCGAGACAAAGAAATGAGTGCCACCTTCAAGCAGATTCTTTGCTGTCAGCGCAGTGAGAGCGCCAATGGACCAACAGAAGGCTCTGACCGCTCGGCCTCCTCACTGAATCACACCATTTTGGCTGGAGTACACAGCAGTGATCACTCAGTGGTCTGAACAAAATCCAGCCAACATAACTTTAGTGCTAGGTGAATACCTAGTTATGAAGCTATTGACAACATTGTTGACAGTCTTTGAAGCAGGGAGAATAACAACTTGTAAAAGTTCTTCTTACTCACTAATGGATTATAGTACTTCACCAGTGCCCAGCCCACAAAAATTCTCTAGGCTAGATTTTTTTTTCTTTTTCCTTTTTTTTTTTTTTTTTAAGTAAAACATAACCAGTTCCCATTGGGGCATTGAAAAATATTTGTACAAGCCATTTAAGCCACCCCAACTAGCCATTCATCAGATGATGCTTTTGTGACAGTCCTAACGAAAATCATTTCCACTTCTTTAAGCTTCGTAACTGCTTCACTGCCTTTTCATTTAGGCACTAAAGCTTCCTCTTCTCCCCTCACCCCAAATGCGTTTCTTTTAATAATCATCTCCCATCACTTTGCTTTGGGACAGACATTTTCTGGGCAAGGAATGAAACAGTCTTAACTTACAATTACACTGCCAATAACAATGAGAATCATATCAAAATAATGGTGGGAAATAACTGTTTATACCTTGGTTTTTATTAGTGTTTGGAAGCAAGCATGTTGTATATATGCAGATGCATTTAATTCTCACACTGAAATCAGTGGGATATAAAAGTGTTGTCTGGCTATTTTGTCCCTGAAATTTTAATTGTCATTAGTAAAGACCAAAAGCAAGAATGTAACATGCAACAAAAATCCAACTTTCTTGTGGCCAGATCCTTAATGTGGAATAGAAAGGATCTAAAAGATCAGATTTTACATAAAGTACATTTTGGGGTTGAGTCTTCTGACTAAAGGGGTTCTACTTTTAAAAGAAGGCATTTTCTTTGCTGTTTTGCACCAAGGGGAAGGTTTTTTAATGAGAGCTGAGGTATGTTTGCCAGATTTCAATATCTGTCCCAGATTTTAGGGAGGGATGATACCACACTCCCAACAATGGATATGATTGAGAAGCAAGTTTAGTTTCTGGGGGTTTTTTCCAAATAATTTTATTAAGAATTATAAATGGAAAGAATAAAAGCCAATACAAAATGCAAAAAAAAATGAACAGAAAAATACAGAAAAAACAAGGAGGGGTGTGGAAAAGAAAAAAGAAAAGAGAAAAAAGAAAAAGAAAAAAGAAGTAACTTCCCACTTCATCCCAGCAAGTAAAGACAAATTTAATAGCCTATCACATCTCTAAATAGAACATAATCTCTCTTCTCCCCGTAGCTCATCGCTTAAGTAAAAAAACAAAATCCAAATGCTTCCTTAATTGTTCTTTGTCAGCAAAAGTCCAGTAAGGGCAGCCAAATATAACTATTTTCCTCTTTTAGCCCTGATTGAACAAACCGAACTTGTATGCCTTCCCAGAGTTTTTAAAAATATTCTTTAGCTCCTTCAGACAGAGTCCCAGAGGTAGTTTGCCGGTCATCTGTGTTTCTAGGCAAAAATCTTTCAGAACTTTAACAAGTTTTTTTTTTTTTGTATATCCAATAAGTAAAGTTTATCCTTTTGTTTGTCACTTGTAATAAAAGTGACTTCAAAACCTTAACAGAGCTCTTTTGTATATCCAGTAAGAAAAAATTATCCAAACCAGTTTCCTGGTTTGATATTTGTATATCTCCTTTAGGCAACAAGTCACCCATCAGATCCATATTACATTCAAGACCCCCTTCAAAGTAATTTCACAGACATCCATTGCAACTTGTTCTCATTCTGTAACTTCATTACAACATGCTTTGTCCATCTTATCAGGCAATTGATCCATTCTATCAAGAAGCTCAGTAGAGAGATATTCAAAAGTTTGCAGTACAGATTTCTGCTCTGTATGCTTTATCTGCTCCATATTCTTTATCTTCTAGCTCCCTCTAGTGTCCACCTTTCAAGGTCTCATCATAAAAACAGCCAAAACATTCTTATAAAAAAGCCACAACAGTCACCATTTCCTCATGAAAAAATATCTTCTAATTAATTCCAAGATATAATTCCAAATCCCATTGACCCCTTAACTTTCCAGAATCCATATACTAAGCACCCTTTTGCTGTATAGTCCAAGAAATAGATTTTCAAAACTTTTAAAATCGAATTTACACCATCGTCCTCCAAGGAGGAGAAAGCTCATCCAATGAATACAGCAAAACCTTGCTGGTCCAAAGGCTGATAATCTCTCCAGTAAACAAACAAAAAAAA